CCAGCTTAATATGCTTGTAAAAGGGGCATTCAGTGTTCTTCTTGGTAGCCTAGTGGAAGTCCAGTAAATGATGTAATTTAGAGGGGATTTCTTGCTAGCTAGGACCTGCTGAATTCATACACCAGTTTTCTAAATGTATGAAATTAATTTCAAGTGAATAATCAAATGGTGAGTAATTCTTATCTTATTGAGCCTTTCTTGAACCATTTTCCTCATGCCCTTTTTATTTTTGTGCTCACCTGCTCCTGATAGTATTTAGTCTCTTTATTTGTTGACCTTATTTAGGACTCTGAATATGAAAGACTGTTTACCTGGAAGACTCTTCTGTGTGCCTCCAGATGAAAAGCTGACTTAAATATCTGGGGGGGAAAAAAAATTCCTTGTGTATATCCTTACAGATACAGTTGACAAATGAAAGGCAATCTATTTTAATTTTGATACCTGTTTGTGTAGGCACTAAATCATTAATTTTTGTTGTCTGCTTTAATGAATATAACTGGGCAAGTATGACAAATGATCCTAATTTTTGTAAATATTTGTGTAAATTGTCAAGGATTTTATTTTTCTGATTTGAGTTGTATGCTCATCCTTTCTCCCGGGAACACAGTAAGTTTTTGTATTGCTGACTCCCTCCCCACCGCCCCATTAGCCCTTAAGTCTTGGAGTTGTCCTTCTTTCCAGAGGTAGATTTAAACAGCTCTTTTTGGAAAGAGATCAGAATCTTAAAAGTTCAAGATTAAAATAAGAGCATTAGACAAATTTGAGGGGACTGGTCATGAAAACAAAGTTTTCATGGTATCTAATGTGGTCCATGACTTGAATTTCTTAAGCTGGTTTGGCACCTTTTCAGAGTCTCAAACTGGGGTACCACTGTGGTCTCAGGCAGGCACCTTCATCCATGAAGCTCCTGCATTTCCCCATCTTCCTCCTACACATCTCTACTTACCTACGCCAAACGGCAGCACAGCAGCTGTGCACCTTTCCCTTTTGCTCTGCTTCTGTTAATTCAGTCAAAATTACATGGCGTTTAAACCTAAACGGCAGAATTTAAACTGATATTTCTTGGTGTAGTGGCACTCACTACTTTGAAGTAATATTACTACATTTTGAGAACTTTGAATCTGCGAGTTGCTTGCTTTATGCTTTCGATGCTTGTTTACACAATACCACAGATTAAGTTGGAAAGTCTTCTGGACCTCGACCAGTCCAAACTTCCACTTGGAGCAGGGTCAGCCAAAATCAGGTCTCAAACGGCCTGTTTGGGTTTCATACATCTCCAAGGATGGAGACTCCACAGCCTCTCTTGGCTGCTGTTCAAAGTTTTGTTAGCCTAGAAGTAATCCCCTTGTTGGGGGGAAGAGCTGGACCCTGTAGTGCATTCAAGGTGTCTCAGTGTCCAACCACAGGGTGCTGATCACTTCTTTCAGCCCGAGGGCTGCACTTGTGTTAATACAGCCCCAGGTGAGCCAGTCTTCAGTGCAAGGGCCCCCTGCTGCCTGTGTCCAGATGTGTCCACCAGGATCCCTTGGTCCTTGGCTGCCCAGCGGCGTCGCAGCCTGTTGTGCTGCATGGGTTACAGCGTTAGCACTGCATGGGGAAGCAGAGCGGCAGGTTGTGTTCTGCTCGGTAGTTGTACTGTATCATCCCAGACCGTGTGGAAACAAGCATCGCTTTACAGCTCAGCTTTGGATGTATTGATGTGATGTCATGCTGAATAGAAATGAGGCTGGGTGAAATGCAGAACAGCTTCCTTGTCGAAGAAGCATGTAGTAAACACTATGTAAATATTTTCATGTGTGCTTCCTGGTTTGACTGTTCTGTGAATGTCCTGTTGTATAAAGTCTTGTTGTTCCACCAGGTTTTTTATTTTAATTAAGATTAGGTGCTCTCTTCACCAAAATATTCTGTAAAAGCTATACTGAAGCAAGCTTTATGGGTATTGTAGCTCAAAGAGCAATGAGGATGCTTTTTCTTTGTTGCATAGAGGGAAATTCAAGCTATGTAGCTGATTGACACTCACTTTTGCTTTCATTCTGATTTGAGAGAGAAGGTTTGGATGGAACTGTTTGGCAAATCTTGTCCGACAACAAAGCTATTACCTGCTGTTGAGCTCCACGTTCAGAAGTTTAGTTGCATGTTCCAGGACTTAAACTGGATAATTCAGAAGAAACAAAATATGCTGGTTGAGTTTTCTCATTTTCTGTATCTTTAACCTGAGCTAGCATTTTACTGGTTACAGCAATTTCCCAAATGCTTTTGTATAGCATGTTGTCATCCTTATGAAAAGACGTAATCCCCTCCTGGGCCTGAAAATTTTAACTATATCAATTAATAGCAATAGGTATTGCTATATGTTGCTGATAGATACATGCAATCTAATGTTCTAATGCCTAGATGCAAGTTTTTGAATGCGGCCTTGTATTTCAGTTTGAAAACATTCAGCCATGGGCAGAGTAATTGAAGTTTAACCTGACACAGGGATAAATTCCCCTGACGAACTTCATAATGTTTTCATGAATAGTAGTGAGCTGTGGGGAAAAGGCTCATATACAATTTTCTTCTCAAGTAACGATAGAGAAATAAAGTAGTTTTAGAGTTGAGCTTCAGTTGCACGTAGCCTTAGTGCTTATCTGCACAGGGCCGCTGCCTTCATGAGAAGACGGGTTCCTTTATCTGTGTGCTGGAAATACAAACGCCCCTTCTTATCTGTATTGTGCTTCCTTATAATCATCTGTGCAAATGGAAAGCAAAACCTTAATTAATGAAGCTGTAGGTGTTTACGTAGCACACTAAGCTTTCTGAAAGTTTTCGAAAGGTCAATTTATACAGTAAAACTGTTTTTATGTTGCAGTTCTGTATAATCCTCTGTCAAAGTAGATGCTTCTGTCACTTTGAGAAATAGCTGTAGATGATCCTGTGTGAGAGAGAAGGCGGATGGATTGTCTGGTTCGTGACGTCCTATCAATCACTAGAAAAACAGTGCGCTCCCTCCCCAATTATGTACGCAGTTGTGATTAGGGTATTTATTTGAAATATTCATGCGTTTATCCTTCTCCAAAGTTTGTTTGTTTGCCTATATGTTGTCTGTAGTAAAAGTAGGGTTTTCCAGGGCTTGGTCCATTTCAAATTGTGTTTTTCTTTATACATGAGACTTGCAGAGAGCCAGCTGTTCAGCCAGGATTGTTGCCTCATTAGTCCTTCCTAAATATCACTAATAACTGACTTGAAACACAAAATAGAAAAACACTTTAATTGCTTTGACAAAAAAAAAATGAACAACACTTGGAAGAAAAGAACAAGACAGGTTCTCACTTAAAATAGGTACTGCTATAAACCTTCAAGGAGAGGAACATCTTCTAAAATATGTTTTTTCCAACTGGTGGACCCTTTTAATGCAGGAAGTTATAAGCTGTAGGCTGTTTATTTAAATCCTTGTCATTTTAATTAAGTGTTTTTATTTCAGCATCTTAACTGATGATGATGATGAAGAAATGTACAGTTGTGAAGACTGTGAATTTGCAACCAAGAAAAGGAAAAAAGATCACTGTAGGAATAACACGAATTCACAATGCAAGTCGGGTTTGTTTTCACTTGTTTTAGAAGACTCTTAGGATCAGCAATGCTAAATATTCATATAATGGCCATTCATGTAAGGAGCAGTCCTCTTATTCATGTCCACTTCTGCTATGAAACATTATTACAGAAGTGGCATGTCTTAGCTATAGCTTTGATCATCCATTATGTGGTTTTTCAAAGATCCAAAGATAACTAATTGAAGAGTTTCTGCCTACATAACAAATGTCTTCTGATACTAACCTATTACTTTGTAGACAAAATTCTTATGTGTGCTCATGGAAGCTTTTCCTTAAGGAGTTTTATTATTGATTTTTTCAAATTCTGATTATTGAAGCAGCCCTGGAATTAGTTCAGGAGTAAATATCTTTATCATAATGCCTATGGTTTCCGTTAAAGTATATATTTATTGATATTTAATTTATATATAAAAAAGGATTAACAAGCCATTTGTTCTATTTTTTTTTATTATTGAAAGTTGCTGTAGTTTACATTGTAAATTCACCATGATGGTGAGTAAACTTAAAGTAGATAATTCAGCAAAGTAGGTGGGAAAAAAAGTCTTCCCAAACTGCTTTTGGAGTTTTTCATACTGTTGATTTTACTTATTTGTACCCCCCAAAACTGCAACAGAGATGATCTTGAAGAAAGCTGCAAGCCTCTTGATTGGGCTTAAAAAATGTTGCTAATTAGCAAAACTGAGAGCTGATATGTAAGAACACTTTCATTTGTTGACATACCCAGAAACATAGAAGTGAGAGGTCTGTGTAATTGCCTTTGTTAGTCTTCCACAGGTGACCCCCTGCAGCATCCAGAAATGTTTGTAATGGCTGAATACAGATCATCCACCTTTACAACAGAAAACAGGCTAGAAATGCACAGGCTTCAGAAATAAAAATTACTCATTTCTAATCCTTTCTGTGTTAAATGCTGAGAAGTCTTTTTGACTGGAAAGAATGAGGAGTTTTGTGAGAAACTGATTGCTTTTGGTAGATAGTCAACAAATTGTATTAAAGCTGCCAATTCTCAAGTGTCTGATTTATAAACCTATTCTACTTTTCCTTAGTGTGGCTTTTAAGTACATCTGTCCTGAAAATTTGAAATCATTCTTGGCAGACTTTGTAAAATTTCTTCATTTAAACTGTTATAATACTTTTCCTCTTGTGAAATAGTTTGAGGATGGTATATTTTCTTCAATTAATTTATAGAAAACACCATCAGAAGTGAAAATTGAAAATGTTTGTTTTTTATTTTAGATTTTTATCGTGAAAAATGGATTTATGTTCATAAGGAAAGTACTAGAGAAGTAAGTCCTGCATGCTGCCTACTTTTGTTTTCTCCTCATGACACCTGTACTGAAGCACCAAAAGGCAATGCTATTCTTTAAATTGTGGTTAAATGTCTAACACAGAAAATAAATTCCAGGTGTTGAAGCACTGGTCCTATTCCAGGAGCAAATGGTCCTGTTCTTACCCTAAATATGAGCATAAATTGTTGCATACATATAGTCAGTGAATGCTTAAAGTTGTAAGCTCAGACTGCTGCGTGTCTTACGGCACCTTCTACCTTGTGCTGACATGAACATAGGACACAGTGGCCACAGGATAGCAGCAGCAATGTGCCATGTAAAAATGGGGTGAAATATCAAGACATTCAGATGCCACTGATTACAGATTCCAAGATTTGTAAAATTCAAAGGCCTTGCATCAAGTGAATAGTGCTTCTGTGCCTGCTAGCTCTAAATACAATTTCTGTGTTTTCATCTGCTCTATGGTAGTTTTCAGTCCAGATGCATTACACTTCCAGAGAACGTGGTATGCAGATACCTCAGCTGCATGCCAGAGTGCTTTCCTGAATGCAAGTCTTCACAATTGTTGAGCTGCTTTTGCCAATTTTATCCTTCTTTCTTTCTGTTTAAAATGTGCATATTCTTCCTCTTAGAGACATGGCTATTGCACTTTGGGAGAAGCTTTTAATCGCTTGGATTTTTCAAGTGCAGTTCAGGACATCAGAAGATTCAATTACGTGGTCAAAGTAAGTCTCATCTGTATGTGCATTTCAAAAATGCATTTGGTGATATATTTACATAAGTAAACAGCTGGTGGTTTGCAACTCCATAAATGTCCTGTTTTATATAATCATTTACTACCGCATGAAATAACCGAGCTTTTCTATTATACTGAGTATTTTCCTTTGAAAAATGCTTATATTATTTTGTGAAAGTCTGTAGCTTGACAAGGGTGGTAACAGACAGTACTCTGTTTGGATGTATTTACAGGCAAACATAGATGGTGGTCTCAGCTGTTATCCTTGGGGTGATGAACTCTCTTTAGAGACAAAGTGATTCCTATACAACCAAAAATAGCAAAATGTAGAACATCTTACAATATACTTAAAATAGCAATTTCCAAAATAGTTTGTGTAAATATTCAACAGCACTTGTTAAAACGGCTGTGTGACTCATTGCACTCCTTTTATTTGTGTAGTATGTCTCTGACAAGATATATAGGCATTTACCTCTAACTTTCCTTAGAATTTACTTTTGGAAGACAAAAATGGAAGACTGAAAAAACTGGAAAGTCTCAAGTTTTATTCCGAGTTGTCTTTCACACATAATGTTGCAATACAAAGTGTTAAGGAATAACTTCCATTTTAATGTCATAGTTCTTTCCTGACAAGTTCCCTTTCCACTGTATTAGTTATCTTCTATGGGTTAAGTGCCAGTCAGTACTGCCATGTGCCTGTTTCCCACAACTACCTATCCTTTAGGCTAGGGATCTGTGTAATGTGCCCCAACTTCCCAGGTGCCTGAGCAGCTGCACCCACAGTTGCTTGTTGCAGGAGATGCCTGACTCGAGGCTGCAGTGCTTGGGGTCCTGGCTTTAGGCAGCAATGTGTCTGCCTCCTGTTTCTCAAAGGAGCTCGAAACATGAGGTGTCCTCAGGACTGCAGCTCAGCTCTGTGGTGAGGTAGTGGCTGGATTGTGTCCAGGGAGGAGACACACAGAACACTTAGTTGAATAAGCATTTCAGCACTGCTGTTAGGCCATGGAGTGAAGGTACGTTCTGACCAGCCTTGTAAAGCTTGGTTTCCACATTGGTGGTTAGAGTTAACTACTAATTCTGGACTGGATGGGGTATGGATTTGAGATGGAGTTGGTGGGGAAGAAAGGGTTTGACTTTCCCTGTATGCTTTCTGCCACAAGCTTGAAGAAAAGCTGTGGCAATATTTTTTCTGTCAAACAGTATGTTAAAGACATATTCTAACCATGATGAAGGCCTATTCTTGATGTAACTCTCCTTAGGCCCTCTGAAGGGAGATTGTGCTGTTACTGTTAGTAAATAATAATAATAATAATAATAATAAAAAACTAACACTAAACCCACTGTTGGCATCAATGTGATGATACAATAGGGAATTACTGCTTTTTAGCTGAATTTTCTTTTTCTTTTCTTTCTTTCTTTCTTTTTTTTTTTTTTTTAAAGTGAGCAAGCAAGCTACACTTGAACATATCTGCAGGATTGTTTTTCCATCTTCTAAGTGTTTGTTTTATAATCTTAGAGTCTTATTGATATTGCATACAATAATTTACCTGTAATTCCAAAAATCCTTAAGAGATTCTAGCACAGAAGTTGCACAGTTTGCCTTATTTTCTTGCCACAATAGGAGTGGCACTACAGCAGCGAATCAAAACATGCAGTAAATGTTCAGTAAATATTAAGTAAGTGTGAAATAAGGTATAATGGGAGGAACAAAAAACCATGCTGGCATCGTTAGGAAATGGTAAATCAACTCTGCCAGTTCAAAACTGCAGACTGTGAATATCAAATTGCTATTGCAAGTCAGTAATTTGGCTTTTTATGAGGTATTACATTTTCAGGTGGATATTTGCGAACAAAGGGATATTCAGAGGGCAGTGAAAGAATCAAAAGTCGAGTGGGAGAAGGGAGGTGAACTCACAGAAAAATCAACCAAACAAAAACAGGTTTCTCATCCTGTGAAGGAGATCAGCAAGCAGGGGATTGATTAACATTGTACAGAACAGTGAGATTGGAGAGAAAAACAGTTCCAGGTTTTCTGTGGTTCCTCGTAGGAAAAAAATGGGGTTAAGAGCAACCTTTAATCACCGACAAATTCATAAACCAAAAATCCATTTCAAACAACACGGCTGAGAAAGGTTGGTTGCCACATGCTCCACCATGTAGATGAAGCTAATACTTGCACAGTAGTCTGAAAATGTACATCACAGCTTAGTCATGAAATGCCAGTGGGAATGCTTAGCTTTGGCATTTGTCTTGTTTCATTTCCTTAACTCAGTAGTTATATTTTAATGAGATATAATGGTCGTGCTGCAGGTGATCGTATGTCAGGACTCGTGTTCATAATATGTTGTATGCAATGTCTGTGTGCATTAAGTCATCTTTTACTGTTGCTCTAAATTTTAATTCTTTATCCTAGCTTTTGCAGTTAATAGCAAAATCCCAGCTAACTTCACTAAGTGGTGCAGCACAGAAGAACTACTTCAGCATTTTGGACAAAATTGTGCGGAAGGGTAAGACCCAAGGTTTTGTCATCTGCTTGCTCAGATTTTATTGCTGTGATCGGATGTTTTCTTGTGGTGGCAGTGGGGTTATTAGTTGTCTTTTTGTGTTTACATTGTTAGACAAATAACAGCATATTAGTGAAAGGTCTGGTACTTCACATGCAATTTTAATAAACTGTTTTCTTTTGATTATTGAATCATGTCTGAAGTAGATTTGTGAAGTCATGTGGCAACAAAATTATATTCAGAAGCTATTGACTACTATTAATTTTTCTCCACAAAATATGAAAACCTCTTAGATGAAACAACTGTAATAAGATTAATATGATTATTTTTCCATTTGCATAATGTACTAAAATGTAGAAGTACATAATTGCTTTTTGCATGCAAAAGAACTATTATATAATAATGTTGACAATCTGTTTAGTCTGGTAACCAGACTGAGTGGAGATGCAATACTGTCAGCTTTGAGCAGAGAATCTCATAAGTTGTTATTCAGCATTATGTTCATTAAATGCATAACAAAACATAAATTTTGCTTGTGAAATTGTGTTAATTATTGATTTTGCACTTACAGAAGAGCATTAATGAATGTCATTGTGGGGATTAGGGCAGTTCAGCTGAATAATGTTGATTAGCTTGGGTTATCTGTGTTAGAAATTGAAATAGTATTTTGTTTTATTTTCTAGTCCTGGAAGACCAATATAACCCACGATTAATAAAAGATCTACTACAGGATCTTAGTTCTACTCTCTGTACACTGATTAGGGGAGTAGGAAAATCCGTTCTGATTGGGAACATCAATATTTGGATTTGCCGACTAGAAACTATCCTTGTGTGGCAACAACAGCTAAAAAACCTTCAGATGAACAAGGTGTGTTGTTAAATCATGCTACTAGAGTAATGAGGGAAGTGTATTAAAAACTGGTTTCTGATTTGTAAATGAACAAAATTTCAAATGCATCTAAAACATTGCTTGATTTCAATATTTTTGGAGAAGTACTACAGAATTAATTAAAATTTGAATCAGCTTTCTTAATATTTTAATAGTCCTCTTCTAATGAGTATTGCTACAATGCCTATACTGCTATGTCTTTTCTGAAGTGTTTAAGATGCAAGTTTACTACAAAAATTTCAAAAAAATTTCTTTTACATTTTCCATTTCTATCAAAGCAAATGTTCTGTTACTAAGGAAATAGATATCTGAAAAAAAAAA